CTTGGACTAGACGTTTTCAAGACTGAGTGCATTTTGCAATAACTCACTCAGGACCTGCAGATGCGTACGCTATGACTTGACAACTGTTGGCCTTTAGACCTAGAAGTAGGGCGTTTACGGCTACATTCCAGAGTAGTGGGGAGAGAACGCCCTCTTTGGGGTGTCTCTGGTCACATACTTTGTAATGGAGCCCCCTGTTCTGATAGAATAGCTCTCTTTTCGGGAAGGAGCACAACGAAATTCACCAGCCCCGTTGCACCCCACCATAAGGAGGGAGTTAACAACAGACTTCGGATAGACATTATTGAAAGCAACCTCGATATCGAGATTTATGGTCAATCATTTTTCAGTCTTTGATACGATTGCGTGAAGTGTAGTCTCCGCGGATTTTCCCTTCGAATGCGCATGCTGATTCGAAGAGAGGTTGTCATTTTTCGTTTCGAACTCGTCAAAAGAGAGGAACATCTAATATTCGAAAAATTCGCAGCAACGGAGTCGTGCAAATTTTCGCATCATCAGAATCTCGCTAATGTGCGCTTCGCTTTAAAGTGCAAAGTGCTCATTCTTAATTTTTTTCTAATCTGGTATCGATATTTGGAATATCGAGTCATTTTATCCCGATACTTTAAATACGTACCCTATCGATACTTTCGCTTCGATACCGTGTCCCAGCCCGCTTGTTATTCTGGAACAAAATATAAATCCTTGTATTTATTTAATTTATGTTCTGGGTATACAAGTAAGTTTTAAATGACTTTTCACAATTCTTCGCTAGCTCAGTCTTGTTCCCACTTTTCTCACAATGAATGGATTAGTGCTCGTCTTTGAAGAGCAATAAAGTATCTATGTAGTGAAGTTTTGATACCTTTAACTGAAGTGAAGCGTACTCCTGTAAGGGCGTTCTGCATCGACCGGATCAAATGGTAGTTTAATGGCGCGTAGTATGAGCTATAAGGCTGCTGGATTAGGACTACCCCTCCGATAATCGATATAAGCTTTTATCACTTGTGCGACATGTTTTGAGCGTCCGTTTTTCCGCAATTGCTTGCTCTAATCGCGTCAGTTATTGTCTACGGGGAGTCTCGTAGATTGTGTGACCACTTTTCAGAAGCTCATTATTCAGGATTCCATTCTGGTCCCACCAAATGTAGAGCATTACCCTTCTGCCACGGATATTTGGTTTTGGCTTCGCAGTGCTTAACCTACGCTTTCTAGTGCTTTGGATTGTCCTAATGAATCAGTTTTTCATCGCCGGTAACAATAAAATACAAAAACTACTTCGCCTTGTTCTGTTGGAGGAGCATTTGGGAAATAGTGCCACGGCAATAGTGCCTGCGACATCCAGTTACGACTTTCTGGACCGTAAAAATGGCTTTCAATCGCAAGTTTTTCTAGGGTGCGGCATCGGTCTTCATCCAAAATTGCCTCCCATTCGACGTCTGCAAACGTTGATGGCCTTTCTTCGCTTTCCTTGTCGATTGTGGTCACCACATTTGAAACGTGGGAACCAGTACTCAAAGGCAAGAGTGATAGAATACAAGATTGCGTATTCCTGACGGCGATAACATTTCTCAATTAAAAGTACACAATGCCGAATAGGAGGATAAAAGAAACTGTCGGATTGGTAAATTATCTTAATATTATATTATTCAATAGGAAACGTGTTTTAATTGCTTTAAATTGTAAAAATGTGTATGTATGTATATGATTTATAAAAGGAATTAATGAAGAAAATGTGACACCAAGGTGATCTTCGTTAATGCTTTTTACTTTTAATTGAGAATTGTCAAAATCGGCAAACCAGCGTAGTGGTTTGCTTACTTGTATCCCATATACAAGTATATTGGGTTTACTTTGTAGGCAAAAAATAAGGATATTAGTAGCTATTTGTCTGCCCTATAAAATGTCGTGGGAGTTAGTGAGCAGGTTTACAGTTGTTTTATATTAATAACTAGCAGACCGGCGAACTTCGTCCCGCCCAAAATTATTATATATTTTATTGAAACTTTTTGGTCCAACATTTTCACCAACAATTCACGTTTGGTGGTCATTTGCGGCTTTAAATAACCTAAGGAAAGTGTTATATCCGTGAAGAAGTTCTTGAAATACTCCAGTTGTGCGGCATTTCATAGCACGGTTATTCGCAAAGCGAAATAAATTTTTGCCTCTTCACTCCCTGGCGGCAACAATGACCCGGTTCTATAGTGAATGTCGTAGAAGCTTTACAGTATAGCTGGCGGCAATTTCAAAATGGGTGCGGATCATTGTTCTACAGAAATGCAATATACATCTACTTATTTTAGACAAAATACCTTAAAAGTTTGAACGCATAATAATATGGGAACATCACATCCATTGGGCCAATCGCAACGCAGGAGCGTTGGATATACTCAATGGTGCAACAGCTCGATTTAATCTGACCTTCACGGCTCCTTTCTCACTATTTTTAGTAATAACTTGACTTCAGCACCACTTGGCAGCACGTGTTTGCAATAGTATTGCATACATATTTCACCAAATCGGATCATAAATAAGATTTTTAGTAATAACTCAACTACAGCGCCAACTGTCGCATTAAATTGTGAAACTAAACCATCCAGAGACACACTCAAACACACACAAAAAGTTTCGTTAAAATCCGTACAATCATTTAGGAGGATTTCACTCACAAACACACCTACAGAAGAATTATAAATACATTCAAAGATAGCTAAAGGTCAGTACGTTTTTAGGCCTCACACGCCATTTTCAAATAGCCCAAATTTTCTCATGAGTAAGGGCTTGATTTCAACTACATACATATCTCCATACGAAGTTCCAGTACTGTAGCATGAATGCTTTCAGAGCTATGCAGTATAAAAATTCGATTTATATGGGAGGTGCCACGCCCACCTTTCCAACAGCTGCCCTTTTTCTTCATGAGTATGCGATTGATTTCGTATATCTCCATACCAAAGTTCCAGAACTCTACCATGAACACTTCCGAAGATATGCAGTATGAAAAATTCGGTTTGTATGGAAGATGCCACGCCCCCTTTTCCAATAGTTCCAATTTTTCTCCAAGAGTATGCGATTGATTTCGTATATCTCCATACCAAGTTCCAGAACTCTACCATGAACATTTCCAGATATACGTAGTAAGAAAAATTTGGTTTGTATGGGAGATGCCACACCCCTTTTTACAATAGCTTACATTTTTCTCCGAGGGTATGCGATTGATTTCGTATATCTCCATACCAAGTTCCAGAACTCTACCATGCACACTTTCAGAGATATGTAGCATGAGAAATTCGTCTGGTATGGGAGGTGCCACGCCCCCTTTACATATTGATTTTTTTTTTAGCCTAAAACCATCCTTGGGACACGTGCGGCAGGTGGCAGTTTCAAGAAAATCGGTTCAGCCGCTCTCGAGCCTTGCGAAAACTAAAAAACGGCTTTCAAAATATATATTAGTTGAGATATATTATATATTATAATTATATTTTGACAGTATCCGTTGTTTCTGATGGGCGCAAAAATATCTTGCTTAGTGACGAATTCGCCCCTTGATATGGTGGTTGCTCAAAGCTATTTATATTCGAAATTGCATGAAAACTGGAAAACAGGAATCTATAAGCTTATCCAGGCAAAAAGCTACCTAAGTACCGAATTTAAGCAAATCGGACCATAAAGTCGATTTCTTCGAATAGATCGGTCCCTGGTCAACTTCTCGGAAAACATGGGTCATATATTCTAATATATGCTAAAAAAGCTACCCACGTACCGAATTTTAAGCAAATCGGACCGTAAATACGATTTTTTCGAATAGATCGGTCCCTGGTCCACTTCTCGTAAAAAATGGATCATATATGCTAATATATGCTAAAAAGCTACCTGCGTACCGAATTTTAAGCAAATCGGACCGTAAATACGGATTTTAGAAATATCTCGACTGGAGCGCCACCTATCGACATTGGTTTTGTTCTATAACACTCCCAGTGATTATATGCACCTACCGTAAATTTCATTAAAATCGGTTGGGTACTTTTGACGCCTATAAAGGACATACAGACAAACATTCATTTTTATATATATAGATAAAAAAAACTGTCGAATTTCGACCACATAAGGAAGCAATTGGCACTTCACACTTACCAACTGTTTGGCCGGTCATCTCGTATGATTTTTGGTCTGCGTCTTTATTTTTGCCACACAGTTTTACTTTGTCTGCGAATCTCAGTTAGTTTTTTGGAAGAAGTTATTTCAGGGAAGAAATGTACACGGAGGCTTGCCTGCCGATGGGAGACCGCTATTAGAGAAAACTTGATTTTTACCATCCTAAAATCATTAAAAGCAGCTCGACTGTATATAATGTATGACTGTTTACAGTCCAAATTGGTCCACGTGATATTTGCCACTAGAACACCAAGGCCCTTAAAATTTGGTACCTGTTGTGATACCACGCGCGTTAGAACCCTCCTAGACAAACCATCGTGTGGAGTCTCAAGCTCAAGAGTTGCCATAGTTTTACTTCGGCTATGTCGGTTAAACCTAGAAGAATTCTGAGCCCATGAAATTTTGCAAAGTTCACGACATTCGCAGGTGGCTCCTCGTTCCTTCCTATGGCTGTGTATCGGTGCCTTCGGTTCAGCATGGGGAGACCTTTAGATCGCTTTTCATTCAATTTCTGGAAGTTTTGAGACAATTCCAACTGTCCCTTGTTTAATAGCTAAATCCCCAAAAGTATCGATATGGTACTCATTTAAAGTATCGCAGTAAAAATATCGGGTACCCATTAATATCGGCATAAAAGTCCTAAAAATTTCTCTGAATATTGGTCTCGTATGTAGACCGCTGTGGTGTTATGATGGGAAGTACGCAAACTTCCGAGAGTATTTCTGCCATGAAAAAAAGCTTCTCAGTAATTATATGTCCCATTACAGCTGAAGGGGTGCATTTGATTGCAATCGTGTTTTCTTCTTCTAATATCGGGAGTCCAGAGAAATATACAGACTGGCAAATATTTAAATAATCCATCGGAAAACAAATTTTATTTATGAAAAAATATATAAAAACTTTAATTGCTAAAACAAATTCACTACACATGGAATTCGTAAATTCATTCGACCTTGGTTACTGAGTTTTAAAGTCCCTTTTACCACCAACCACTTCCTCCACCATATCCACCGCTCCAGCCACCACCACCGCCGTGACCACCACTCCAGCCTCTGCCACCAGACGACCAGCCGCCGCCCCCGCTGCCGCCGCTCAAGGTAATCACTTTAATGATTTTAGGCGAAGAATAACCGCCACCACCACCATAGCCGCCGCCTCCATAGCCACCGCCTCCATAGCCACCACCTCCATAGCCGCCGCCTCCGTAGCCGCCAGAACCACCCCAGCCACCAGAACCACCCCAGCCGCCAGAACCGCCAGACCAACCGCTGCGTATGAAACCAGCCGAAGCTACTGCCACTACCGCGCACAGGACAATCAGGATCTTCATATTTTCACACACTTTGTTGAACTAACAGCAGCGAAAGAATAAATCGAAAAATTTAACAACGCGTAGAAGTGGATGATTCCGCGAGTACGCGAGTAGCTATAGCCGAATTTGAACTGATATCGAGATGCAAATCGGAGCTGGTATTTATATTCGACACAAAATTGTGTTTATTTTTAATGTGGTTCTGTTAACACGCTTATGTATGTGCATATGTACATTACAAATACAAACTATGTTGATGTAGTGAGCGTCTTATTAGCCGTTGGTCATCAGCTCACTCAAAAGCGGTGGCGTTGAAAAAGATAATTTGGTATATTCGTTAAGAAGCGTACTAGTGTTGCGTATCCGCACGTAGCACAGTAGTTGTAAATTTTTGTTGTTGTTATTGTTTTGGCTTGTTTTATTAAGATTATAATAAACGGATTGTTGAATTGTACAAGTGAACTATTAAACTGTTAACCAAGTACTCGGCCAGGCAGCGATAAGACCGCTAGTAAACTGCTTTGGGGCACTACTAGCAGAACATCATCTCCACACTGGTTACAATCACAGTGACATAGGCATGTATAAGTATCTACACAAGCATATTCCATGTGGCATTGCACATGCGCGGCGATTCTAAATACGCAAGTTTTTGCGAATTCTGCACTGACATTCTGATGCGGTCGACGATATGTTGTTAAACTTTTGGCTGGTAACGAACGTCCTACGTGACTTTATAAGTATATACTTACAAATGCAGGTACATAGTCGTAAGTATTTATGATTCATATTTAGAAGAAGCAATCGAAAATAAGAAAATTCACATCTCAAGAAGTTAGAAGCGAAACAAGAGTTTTCGTGTCATACTCATGTAAAATTGATGCTTACCTATAAAGTTGAGTAGTTTATGTCGCTTTTGAGCGACAATAAGTTGTTGACACCGCCCGGCTTGCGGCTTGCGGCTTGCGGTGGCTACTTATGCCCACTTGTCAATGGTAGACAAGTAGTTACGGCAGATGAGGCAAACAAGCCGCTTCTAGTTTTATCAACAGCGCAACTGAAATAAGTTGATTGTGTGTAAGTAACTTGCAAGTATGTATACATACATAAATAAATAAGTGGTTTGCGTTTTGGGTGTGTTTTTATTTAGCATATGTTGTAGCTGTTTTATGTGGCAACATTGTCATGCGTGACTCATTGCCAACGAAGTTGGTCGCCACCCGCAGCTCCCAGGTGCCCTTCTTACATATGTATGTCTGTTACATGCACATTAGACTGCATCACTCCCCATACAAAAAAAAATCGGTACTGTGTTTCCATTGGAATTATAAAATCTAATATATTTTAAGACCTCCACCAAAATATTTCGGAAAAATATTAAGATTTAAGCGAGCTGGACCGATTTGAAAATACCTCCAAAAAGGCAATTTTTTATGAATAAAAATAGTTTCTTAAAGATGTTTTTTGAAAAGAATCCCCTCAAATGACAAAATGGTTTAAGCTTAAAAAATTTACATAAAAATATTTAAAATAATAAAAAAAAAATTGAAAGGAATCGTAATAATGAGATTTTTGATGCTGTTTTTTAACTTTTTTAAAGATTGGTATAAGAAAAACTTGAATAACTGAACCTAAACTGTTCCGATTTAAACTTGTGAGGTATCGTTGGAAAGGTATTTTCTCACGCTTTTTATTTCTTTCTAATAAGCTCATTCAAAGGATGAAAGAGAAAGGTAGGATAAACGAACATCATTCAAAGTTGAACTAAGATGTGTTGGTATTTGAAAAAAAAAATTGGGACACGAATGACTTTTTTTGCACATATATAAAAATAGTGGGAAAATACCTTTCTAACGAGATTCCATAAGTCTAAATCAGAGTAGTTTTGGCCCAGTTATTCAAGTTTTCCGTAAATAATTATTTGAAAAAAGTTAAAACAGCATCAAAAATCTCATTATTACGATTTTGTTGAAAAGATTGGTAAATATTTTTATGCAGATTTTTTAAGCTTAATCTGTTTTGTCATCTGAGGGGACTTTTTTAATAAGCTTTTAAGAAACTATTTTTATTCCTAAAAATTCCATTTATGGAGGTATTTTCAAATCGGCCCAGCACACGTAAATTTTAATATTTTTCCGAAATATTTTGGTGGACATCTTCAAATATAATAAACCGCAACTTATTTTGCTGATGCAGTCTAATGCACATACGTGGTTAACTAATTGTATACTTCCATGCGTATGTATGTATATGTAAGTTTGGAGTATATTTCCGCACTTAAGTCTTAAATCATTATCTCACCTGAGCTGTAATCAGGTTTATTGCGTCTGCCCGCATCTACGCGCTGCAGCAAAAGAATAGATACTCGCAGAATATAGTGGTGCGGCAATTAAGGGCAGCGGGTTTATTAATGCTGGCTGATTGATGTTCTAAATTCATGTTAACCTTAATATATTCGTAAACATATTTACATACATATGAAGAGTAGAGATTGTTGTAGTCAGTAAGTAAAAGTAAGTTCTTTAACTGGTATTATATGTAATGTCAGTACCGAAATAAAATGTTATTGAAAGTGCTGGAAGGAAGATGACGGCGGGACGCTGGTTGATGTGACATTGGTTACATTTTAAATATCATCAGTGTAAGTACCACTTTGCGTAAAACACGCTTGACTAAAAGTATTTTTTTGCATTGCAACATAAATAATAAAACCAAATTTATATACGTAAACCGGCGCCTCTTTCTTTAACAATTAGTAACCCTATATATAGTTCGAACGTGTTTGCTGGTTGTACATGTACATACTTAAATGTGCAAAAATCGTTGGACCATGTAGTATATTTGTGGCATATTGGAGTACTTAAAAAGTGCTCCTCTGTGATGCAGTAGCGGACCAACTCGCGTCTCCCCAATATCTTATTGTTACCCGATCACTGCTCCTGTTTTAACGAAATGTGATGGAATTTGAACATTCGAATGCCGTCAGAGGCACTTGTGCACAAGGGTATATTAATTTTGTTCACATAACCGTTGTTTGTAACAGCCAAAACTAATCGAGATAGATATAGGCAAATGTATACATAAATGATCAGGATGAAAAAAGAAATCGATTAAGCTATGTCTGTCTGTCCGTCTGTCCGTCCGTCCGTGTACACGATAACTCGAGCAAAAATTGAGATATATCAACGAAATTTGGTATGTAGGTTACCGCTAATCCAAGGTAGGTTGGTATTGAAAATGGGCGAAATCGGACTGTAACCACGCCCACTTCCCATATAACGGTAATTTCCAGAAATACGAAAACTGCGATATTTTAGTAACTACTGAAGATAATTCACTCAAAATTGATATTTACAATAATTTTTAGACGAAAAATAAGAATATTATACATTTTTGGAAAATGCGCGTAGCCACGCACACTTATGGTTACATGTGTATATCTTGGTAACCGCTGCACCAATTTCTTGGCACAGTTGTTGGCCTTGCTACAGCATACAAAATTGCCGAAAATTTTTAAATTCGGACGATAACCACGCCCACATCCCATATAACGGTAATTTAGAGAAATACAAAATCTTCGATAAATCAGTAAATATTGAAGCTAATTTATTCAAAATTGATGCTTGCAACAATTCTTTACCAAGAAATACGTTTATGGTAAAATTTTGGAAAATGGGCGTGTGTATCGGTAACCGTTCCACCAATTTGTACCAAACTCGGTACGGTTATTGTGCTCGCCACACAAAAGCAATTATTGAAATCGGAGTAAAATTGCGGCAGCTTTTCATATAACGGTAAATTTCAGAAATGCTTGAAACTTCAATATTTCGATGTTGAAGGACGCTAATTTACTCAAAATTGATGCACCCCGGCTTACCATCTAGCGGTAGGTTTCGGAAAGGTGAAAAAACATATATTTAGTACTTGCGCCGGGTATTTAATGTTCGGCTCCGCCCGAACTTAGACTTTCTTACTTGTTATTATTACCTCCCTTTTATTAGCTCGGGATGTAACTATGTAATATTGATACTCCTAAAAGATGTAGCGATTTCTATTCTCAAGCTACATACTTGATGACAGTACGAATGGAAATTATAGTAGCGAGGTTTTAGTTTTTTAAACTATAATTTTTTTTATTTTTATTTTAATTTTTATTTTTGGTTTTTACTAGTTACGAAAAAGCATCTGTGTAGTGAAGAAGAAAATTTATTCAAGATGAACATTTGAAAACAAAGTTAAGCTGTAATTGTATAGAAGCTGCTCCATAACCGAAGTCTGCAAAGCGTGAAAAGCCTGAAAGATGCCAAATTTCGAATTTGGTTCAGGCTTTGCAGGCTTTTACGGCGTCGCACATAGGGGTATTTGACCAATTAAGGCGCCCAAAATTATTTGTATGAAAATTTTAACTCAAAATGTTTACAAAATACGTGTTGCGACATTTAAAATTGTAAACGTTTAAAATCAAGTAAATAAAGTGGGAGGACGTCCAATTATTTCACCAAAACAACAAAACTAAAGCTCCTTAAAGTTTGACATCGATAAGCGAGTTGCCGTAGTCCGATTGTAGAAACATGCACACCTACGTGTTCGTCTCGGCGAGGACAATGTTTATGGTTAGGTTAGAATATGAGCTGCCATCTGTTAAAACAATAAATACAATTAAGTTAAAAGAATTCCTACAATAAGGGTATCAATCGAAATGGTTTTGAAAAGGCTTTATTTCTAAACAACAAGTGGGAGGGTTGCCACCTGTTTAAAAACGAAATTCAACTTTAAGGAAATAAGACACAAATTTGTACTATAAAAAAAAAACGTGGCAACTCATATCAAAAATATTTCTTGAATAAAGTTCTTAAAAATACTTTTCATTTGATATCCACGTTAATAGTTTTAGTTAAATTTTGTAGAAACGAAAATAAGTGGCACCCTTAAACCAATATCCTAAGGGATAACAATTACTACATAGAAAAAGAATTGTTTAAGAGCCTTCTTTTAGTATGCACGAATAGTAATATTGTATGTTATTTTTAAACAATGAGCTAAATAAATATAAGATGGCAACACCTGTCTATATAACCTTAAAATTTAAAACACTACCTGAATACAAAATTGTATCGAAATCGTTAGAGCCAAATTTTACTAGAACTTTCCGTTAAGATGTTAATTTTTTCTAAAAGTGCTGACAATTATTTTCTTTCCCTGTAAAGTCTTTAAGTTTTAAATTAACTCTTCACCCCCTTTATTTATTGAACGCTTTTACAGAACACCCTATACATGTAAATAAAAGTTTTTTACAAAAAGAAAAATTACATTAATAAAATTAATTTAAAGGTGAGTGTCACAAAAGCACAAGGTTCCGGAGACTTGCCTATATGTATGTACAATTTTTCCGGGAATAAGTAAAATCTTGGGTATTAATTAAAAAAAATTAACAATTGAATACTTAATGAAACTGATATACAAATTTGTCTACAAAGTTTTGCGTAATTTTAGTACAAAATATCGTATGGGCAACATAAAAAATTATTCATTCAATATTGAAAAGAGTGAAGTAAAGTAAATGACACCTAAAACATTTAATTCATATATAATTGCGTCGCTAAAGGCATAGCACC